TATTATAATAATATGTATTATTATTATTATAAACCTTTATAATAGGGTTTGGTGATAGGGTTTGGGGATTCCTGTGACTGTGAAGGTTTTCAGAGTTCAGTTTAAACTAATGTTAACTGAAGAGAACCTTCAGAAGCAGGTTCAAACCTCACCATTTAAGCCACAGTTGGTGTTAGCTGGCCGAGCAGGGGTGTCAGCCTTTCCCTCCATGGTCACTAAATGGAGAGCAGCGCTGGCTCGTGGAGCGCCGGGCAGAGCACTTGAGAGGTTCTCAAAGCCATTCCAGCAAAATCTGAACACCATTAAGTTTTGTCACTTCAAAGAAAAGTTGTATTTTAGCATGCTGTAGGAGATGAGTTGCTTTGCATATAAGACTTTTAAAAAGGATATGGAAATAGTGGGTTTTTAGTGTACTATATTTGACAGTAAACCACGTTGCCTCATGAATCTGATCAAATTTGAGCTTGGATTAATGCCACTGTACAGGTAATCAATCCTAAAATATAAACTGTACATTCATCTTTAATTCCTTTGCTTTGATAGATTTTTTTTTTGGGGGGAGGGTAGAGAGTTGAGCCTACCCATGTTTCTGTTTATTAAAATACTTCCTGAGCATCCTGTAACACTTGACATAGCAGAAGACTATTCCTGGAAACAATTAATACAGGCAGCAGCACTTGAGTTCAGTGTTATATTGAATTAGGCAGGAGTGCTAACTACCCTTAATGGTTTTGGTATGGTTTGTTGCTTCGTAATGTTTTAATACAATATTATTATTATTATTAAATAAAGTGACTGGGAATATCTGAGTTTACCTTGATGGCTCTAGAAGATGCTGTGATTTGGTTGTGTGTGTGTGTTTGTGTACACATCAGTGTGTGTATATGCAATAAATACAGATCCTGATGTTTTGTTTGTAATTGTTGTAGGGTTCCTTTGTGCATGTTCAAGCTGCAGAAGCTGTGACCGTTCCAATAAAGAACCATTTCCCCACAAGAGAAGAACAAATTTTGGCCCTGCAAACCACAGGTGAATTTGATGTCCTTGTTATAGGCGGAGGAGCGACGGGATGTGGCTGTGCTTTAGATGCCGTCACTCGAGGTGAGACTTGGAAGCTTAATTGCATTCTTGTTCTTGGATTACATGGTTTGTAATAAACTTATCAGATTGGCTTTTCAAAAGCACTTGAAGATAGAGAAGGTGTACACCAAATGCCTGGTTCTAAAACTTCTGTTCTCAGAAGCTAAAACAAACTTGAAGAGAAAATGTCATTGCATCTTGTTGTTTCAGTGGAGTCTTTGTTGTCCAGGTGCTTGTATGCAGTTGTCTAACATGAACCTTTTGGCTGGATACTCTTGGGTGGACTTCTCATTCTCTGCTGCTCCTTATTTAGAAGGTTTATCTGTAGTCCTATTGCACTTGTTGCTGCAGCAAAGAGAAGACAAGACTTGCACAGAACTTCTAGCAGCTATTTTGAAAGGGCCAAGCATGAATTCTAGATGAGACACAGTGGCTCTCCAGCTCCCATTTCTTATAACATGAGGTATCTACAACTTCTGCTGATGCACTGCAGCTGTGTAGTGTATTGCAGGTTTGGAGAAGTCTGGATTTTCAATAAAAGGTACCAGCATTTTCAGTCTGAAGACACACACAGTAGGTCTGTGCTCCCATTTCCCCTCTTTTGAGGGATTAGCTGTCTAACTGGTTTCAGAAGCTATTAGAAGCAGCAGAATTGATGTTAACTTTATGTGTAGCCCGAACTTAGGGAAAGCTCAAGGGCGGGGGGGAAAGCAGGAAGCTAATGCCCACTGTGTCTGTCATCCACCTCACACAGTAACCTTGAAATTGGCCAGCAGGTTCTACTCAAATTTGACAGTTCTCAGAGAGAATAAGTCATTTTACAAGTTTAATGAAAATAAATCTTCAGATAAGAGAATGCAGGGGTACTGTTTCTGCAGGAGAGGCTGTAGCGTCAACTCCTGTGCTATCAAAATACTAGATTCCCCAAGAATATAATATTTTTATACCAAAAAAAACCAAACCCAAACCTGTGTAAAAGACTTGAGAAAAGCTTATCTTGAAATGTGTTCTCTCAGTTGTTATTTTCAGTACTATCAGCCACTGAGAGAGAGAACCAACCCGCCTGCATTTTTGGGTTTGTAGACCTTGTTTCTGGTTCTGGAACTAAAATGAAAAAAACAACAAACCAAACCAGCAAAAAACCCCACAAAACCAAACTAGAAACCAACCAAAAAAACCCCCCAAACCCCAGCAGTGTAAAACACAGTAGATAGCCCTAAAGCTCTCCAGGTTCTTTAACCTGTAGATATATAACCCTCAGAAATAAGGGGCAAAACCTGACTCCAGGAGTGTTTTTGCAACCTGATCTGGAAAATGCTTGTCCAGAAGGTGTGATAACTTTGACACAGATAAAGCAGTACAGTCTGCACCATTGGTGGATGCATACAAACTCAGATTTGGTTGTGGATTTTTTTCATGGATTATTGAAGCTAACGTGGGATCTTTTCACTTCTGCCTCTGCTATATTGTGGTAGAAAATGCAGTTGTAAAGCATACGGAAAGTGTTACAGGTAATCTGTGTTTATCCTTTGACTAGATGTTCTGATTGTATCAGTAGGTTTCTGAAGTGTGAAATATTCCCAGGCATTTGGTTAATGAATTGTGTGTTGCTGCTGTTCATTCATGAAACTTGCTCTTTTATTATGTTTGCTTCGCTTAACAACAAATTTTGCTTTTCATGTGTCTGATACATCTTCACCAAATTATTTCTGATTGTATCCATTAATCTTCAGTCACATTTGACAAAAATAAATTACTCTGATCTTTGGAAGTTACCAGTAATAATTAGATGGGTTTTTTTAAGGACATAAAAGTTTTGGGAGACCAATAGGTGTTAAAATGTATTTTCACCAAGCAGTAACGTAAAGCCCCCCTCAAAGAGGGCGAAGGAGAGACCCAAGGGGTAACTTCTAATGCAGATGGTGCTCTTCTCCTTGAGTGTGCATCATCATGTTGTTGCTGTTGGTTTTGGTAGGGATGTCACTGAATTTAATTCACTTTTTGACTTGCCTGCCTCACTTTCAAATTCTGCCAGTGATGGAGGGAGTCTGTCATGCTCACTTCTGTAATACAGATTGTCCTTCCACACGTGTTTTATAAGTGAAAGATCACCACGTACATGTCCTGTGGAGCTTATCTTGGTTGGCTTTACTTGGATGGTGGAGGTCGATGGCAGTTGTCTTGTAGGTACATGCCAAGGATGTGGCCAAGCTGTTGCCTGTATCTGACCATTAAAATCCTGTGGAGCTTATCTTGGTTGGCTTTACTTATGCTGGATGCTGGAGGTCGATGGCAGTTGTCTTGTAGGTCCGTGCCAAGGATGTGGCCAGGGTGTTACCTGTATCTGACCATTAAATGGCATCTGGTAATCATCTGTTTCCTGCAACTCTTCCCTTCACCTGACTTCCATCACATAACCCAGCGTTCCTCTCCTTCATGAAGAAGGTGCCAGCACTTCCCCTGTACAAGGGACACGGTGTTGACAGCAGTGGGAGATATGATTTAGTAGTGACTTCAGCCTGAAGCAGTGTGCCTTCACCCATGGAAAGCTTTTTCCTGGCCTTCGGGGTGCCTGGGAACAGAACAGCTTGTGCAGCAAACCCACCAGCCTGGATCCACGTGCTGGTTAGAATCAGCCCTGCCACAGTCACTGTGAAGTGTTTGGGTGACTGTCTGTGGTTTTCCCTTCCTGTGCTGGTCAAACTGCCACGGGGAACACGGTGCCTGTTTCTGAGTTAATGTGTTTCTGAAATATTTGGCAATATCTCGTAACTGAGGTGTTGTGTACGTGTGGCTGCCTCTCTGGTACGCTCTTCACGCCGTTCCTGTGATCGGTTTAGAGCTCTCTGCTGCAAAGAGTTAAAAGTATTCATGAAAATACTCTGTTCCTGCCATGAACACGAGCTGTAATTTGCTTGAGGGAGCGTGGCCCCTATAATGTACTGTAATGCCTTTCTATTGTGAAATATCCAGGTTTTAATGTGCTTCTGTTTAAGTTCTGTTTTGACTTTTCCCATAGGAAGGAGGCTAAAATTTTTCATTACAATATAGACAGTGCACTACACTTTGAATACAAATTTATCCATGTACAGAGTAATTTTTCTTGTGATTGTCTCTACCCTAGAGAAGTGTCTTTAATGAATTACATACAAATTGTGTAATTTAAGAAGTTAATTTGGTTTTCTGGTAACACAGGACTAAAAACAGCCCTTCTAGAAAGAGATGATTTCTCATCAGGGACCAGCAGCAGGAGTACTAAATTGATCCACGGTGGAGTGAGATATCTTCAGAAGGCCATCATGAAGTTGGATTTTGAGCAGGTAATTGTTTATGCTGGTTGTTAAGCAGAAATTGCTAGTAGACACTTCTCCTATCCCAATTAGATCCAAGTCTCCTTTTTATTTTTTCAATACTTGACTGTGGTATTCCACAGCCACTGTACGTAGAAAGTGTCTTCTCCAGACCAGGAAAATGGGTGCTGCTGCCTTTTGCTAAAATCTGTTATGAGCAACCTAACTGCTGTACCTTGTAGACTCTGTCTGTTTTGGGGAAGGCAGGCAGAGGCAGGGCTGACTTGAGAATACTTCAGAGCTTTCTACCTCTCATGATCAGAACTTGGGGGAGGGAGTGGTTGTCCTGTTTATTCTGCAATGGCTGAAGAGAATATGGTAAATGGGTGATCATATATAAAAGTTTTTATGTATCCTTGTGTTGATGGAAACATGATGCTCTTGTTTTGAGAAATTGATTTTTCTTCTCATTTAAACCTCTCTAGCTTAAAGTATGTTTTAATGGTTATAATATTGCTTCAGAAATGGTGACCTCTCAGGGAAAAATATATAAAATATGCAGTTACCCAGCTACAGAAATCAACCTTCTTTTTTTCCAAAGAACAACTTCGTATTGATTCATATTGATAGATTTGGAGAAGAACACTTGTGCATCTGCAGCTCGGAGTTAGCATGGGATTTAATTGTGGGAATCAGCACAGAAGGTGTACAGTGGGATGAGTTCTAACCCTCCTTGAGCGTGTCCTGCCCGTAGTCAGGAGTAGCACAGCTTATTGAACTGTATTATGTTCAAATGAAAAATTATTCAACTGACCTGCTAGGACACCAGAATGAAACTAGTGAAACTTAATTTTCTTGGGAAACACTTTTCTTAACTTTTGACTTTTTAAGCAACTCTTGGTGTGTTTTTGAAAATGATGCCAGGTATTTGCTTTGATAAACAGTTCCTTAGGAAGTGTTGCACATGGAGATGAAATTGAGTAACTTGGGATTCACCTGCACACTTCTGTTTTTCAGTACAAGATGGTGAAAGAAGCGCTTGAGGAGCGTGCAAATCTGCTTGAAATTGCTCCTCACCTCTCAGCTCCTTTGCCCATAATGCTACCTGTTTACAAGTAAGCTCTTCTGCAATACCTCTCCTCTACCATTGCCTTTGACAGGGAAGTTATTTCCATGGAGAAGTTTCCACGTGCCTCTTTCCAAGCGTGTCTTTACACCTGTTATTAGCCTTGTTCTCCAGGAGGTGAGATGTTGCCGTATTACAGAAGCATGAGATTCTCTTACGGCACCAGGCAGCTATCACTGCTCTCTAGGAGCACATCTTGGACTTCAGCTGTCCTGTGCGGAGGGGAGGCTGCAGCTGGAATGAACTCTCATTTTCAGGACGGTATTTGGATGATATTTCCAGTACATCCTTGTCTTCAGCACATGCCACCCTAGTGCTCTTAGCAACATGCTGTTTAGTCCAGACAACCTCCAGTGTTCAGGGCACTTGCCTTCCGCAGCACGTGACGGTTTGGTATGGAGAGAACAGTTTACTTCTTGTGTGAGGAAGAGACTTTCTGTGATTTGGGTTAAGTCCTCAGATCTGTAAGAGCAGTTATTCACTGTAACAGGCTACTTTGAGCCTTGAGGTTTTGCTGAGTGATCTTAATGTGTGGCTTTATTCCTGTCTTTGTAGAAGGAGCTTGTACTAGCTGGAGCTCATCCAGCCCAGGGGTCAGCTGCAGTTATTCAGTCCTGTTTGTGCAGGAGGCATTAGTCAAGATGTGCGTTTGAGGAACTCTTCCAGCTTGCACATACAGCCTGGTTCTTCCCTCAACACGTAGCTGTAGTGTCTGGCCTTACACTGAAGTACAGAAAGCTGGTTTGTGATCCCAGTTCTAGAGTAAATAAAGCCTCGAATCTGCTTGATGAACTGCAGTGAGTAGATCAGTTGCAAACAGTAGTGAGCAATACGTAAGTTCTTGCATATTTATGTTATATGGTGACATCATGATTTTGTGTGATGGAACACAGTGAATCTGGTGAAATAAACCACACAGTGCTACTTCACATGTTCTGTGTTACAATAACAGCGTGTGCACGCACTTGTACACTTTTTATGATTATTATTTCACTTCACGGAGATTATTTTTTCCCCTGCAGATGGTGGCAGGTGCCATACTACTGGTTTGGGATAAAACTATATGACATGGTGGCCGGAAGTCAATGTCTGAAAAGCAGTTACTTCCTTAGCAAGTCAAGAGCCTTGGAGCACTTCCCAATGCTGCGCAAAGACGAGCTCGTTGGAGCTATTGTCTACTATGACGGTACGTTGCCTTTCTGGGCTTTCTTATTGTGTTGTTCTGTGTTTTGAAGGTGGGGAAATGCAAGTGTGAGACTACAGATTGTGTACATTGACTTTCTGAATGGAAGAACAGCAACTTGAAGGATTCAACTTGCATCTTAAGCATTAATTTGGTAGATAAATGATGTTTTTTCACAGCAGTAACTTACTGGATGTAGGAGAGAATATATTGGCTTTCTTGGCTAGTAGGTATAGCGATAGGTGAAAGCATTGTAGTGTTCTGGTGGCTCCCAACAACTTTCCAGCTGTGTGTGATTTTGCTGTACACCTCTCAGACTGAATGCTGCTTCTGGGGTATCATAAGTCACAGAAGTGTGACCATTCTGATATGTTTAATGTTTTGCTGTAGCACTTTCAGTGTGCAGGTAACTTCAGACCTGTCTAGATGACCTGGTTGCTCTTTGTGGTTCTTCCACTGGGTTGGATGAGACCTGGATCAGTTTTTCTATCACCAATAAAATTGGTTGCTCTTCAAAGACAATGTTCACTGTAATCATAATCAAATACCAGAGACTGCTGTTAGATGTGTTTTCTGTTAAAACCCCTTTAAATAACGGGTTATAACTTCATGAGAGGAAAAATGCCTCCAGCTCAAGTCATTTAATCTGTTGTATCAGCTAGTTTTGGTAATGTTTGTGTGTAACACTGACACAAAATCGGGGTCCGAGTGGGAGAGAATAAAGATGCTTTCTGCAAGCCTTGGAGAATGGAATATTTTTGAATGGAAGCCTTGATGGAATATTTTTTACTTTGCATCAGACTTCTGTGCTGTTTCACAATGTGTTTTTAGTTAGATGGGTATTCCTCCTTCTCCAGTCCTCTTCCACTTCCCTTCCAAGACAGGAAGTTTTGGTAAAACTTTCCTGGTAATGGGGCCTGCTAGGTAATATCAAAGTGTCAAATGTGCCCAGGATAGGGCAAAGAGTCCTGGATTCCTTGCAGGCTTGGAAGAGCCCTCCAAAGAATAAATAGCTTAAATACTGATTTACTTCAGTGGTGGTACAGTTCAAGTTAGTTTTTACCTGAAGATGTAGTTTCTGACCTTTTGGCAGGCAGAAAGGTCTTCACACAAAATTGATTATAAAGGTAGATCTTTTCCCTTTTTAGAACTGCTTTTACTCTATTCATCAGCTTATCCATAGGGGCTTTTGTACTGGGAAGAAGTAGGAACACACACTGAAAACACACTGGACTCGGATAGTATTTGAGGCTTTTGGCAAAAGCATGTGTTGATAGTTGCAAATTATATCTTACAGAGCCTGGCAGAATGAAAAAAAAATATGTATATCACAGGAATATATATGTGTAGGTTCTTGTTTGGGAGTGAGGTGAGATTTAAAGGATGAACTTGATTTTAACCTTTCTCTGGTGGAGACTGAATCTTCTCTGCCTTATTTTTAAGGTCTAGAGGAATTAAGAGGTTATTTAGAAGCAAAATTTGTTGTGGGCTTATGTGGTATTTTTTGTATACTATAACGTGAGCTGCTGTAAATAGCATACATAGAAGTAATTCAGATTTATTTTTTCATTATCATAAGCTATCCCTTAGACTGTTTAAGGGATCCCAGGAGCATGCAAGAAGAACGAAGTGGTTCTCTTAACTGTAATTACACTTCTCATAAGAGCACTGTAACTTGCAATCTATTTATAAACTATTGAAGCTTTTTTTTTCTGATTAAATAGTTTGGATGTGTCATAGCTATTTCCTACTGCAACATTCTAAAGATATACATTTACATGATAGCCTTAAAATTAGTCTTCAGGTTTCTTAGATGAATAATTGTTTTATAGCCTTGGAATAAATGAAACTTCAGCACCAAGATACCGTGTGGTCTTTTAGTGGAAGACATCTGTGCAGCAGTACAGGGCAGAGCTCTGATTGACTGGGATCTCTGGTGGTTTTGCTGCCTTCCTAAGCAAGGGGAAGCGAAGCCACCCTCTGCACATTGGAAACAAAGAAGTGTCAAATGGGGGGAAAAAGGGAATGTACAGAATAGTGAAGAGCAGTTTAATGGAGAAAGATGATTGTGGAATCACTGTGTATTCACACAAGTTTCATAAAACCAGGTAGCTGGCGGAGACTCCTCACAATTCTCCTTCAGAGGAAGAGCTGCAGTGCTAGCAGGACACTTGGAGACTGATTTGATGGGAGATATCAAAAATAGACTTGAAGTTTTGCAGCCAGTGAAACTACTTGTTCATGCAAGTGTATCTGGCCTTATTTTGCTTTACAGACTGCAGCTCGGTTATCCACATTTTCATGCAGAATTTAAAGAAACAGTGTTTAGTAGTGAAAAAATAAATGAAAAACCCCAAACTCTCAAAGCTCCACCAAACCTAAATTTTCTGGAAGAATAAAGTGGTTCTGGAGGACTAAAGTATCAAATTTGGGAGTTGGTAATACGCATTTTGGTGCTTTGAGGCTGCACCTAATCCAGAATAAAATCTTTTCAACTACAATTTTAAGTCAGTTCTTAATGTGCCACATTTGGGAATTACACTTTGTCTGGAGTGGCTTCTCTGCAGGTCAGGCTATGGCCCCTGGTGTAGATGGGCTCATGCTGTGTTGTAATGCACTAATTATTTTATAGTGATCAATTAATCTGTGTTCCGTCCACTGTAAATTTGTTTTAACTCAGAGTGTTTCAGCAAGCACATTTTAGATCTCGTAAATTATTATATTTGAATTTTAGTGATATACTTTCATGCCCTAAATCCAGAGGGATGGAGGACAAAGGGGAAAGGGAATTGAACGTAAAATAGAGAAGAGGATGATTAGACTGAATTAAACTTTTAGTCTTTTAGAAGAATTAGTCATAAAATAGCACATTAAATAATGGCAAATATATATATAAGTGTGCCTTAAAGTAGGTCATATCTTTATTTTCTCTCTCATCCCTTTTCTGTCTTCCCTAAATAACAAATATAAACTGGCCTTTTAAGAATGGTGTGTCTTAACTGATTGTACATGTGCAGTTCAGTGTAGTTTTACCTTGTTATCTTGCTTTTCTCTACTCCCATCTCTATCCTCCTTTCTCTGTATCTGTAGCTGTCACTGTACCTCCTCGCCGCGTCTCGTGGTTTGGCATGTTGCTCACCACCACCAAAGGGAAGAATTAAAAACCTTCGTTATGTAGATTAATTTTTATTTGATAAAACCACCTGGCCAGTTGTGACTTCTTGGTGGGAATGTTCTCTTGCAAGGGAAATAATGCCCTTTGTTTTCTCTTGTAATTGTTGGTCAGGTTGGTGGCATGTCAAATCATCCATTATTCATGAATACGTTGTGTTCTCAAATGTTGCTGTGGTCGTCTTAATTACGTTTTAAAAATTGTTTATACAGGCAAAAAAAAAATGGTACATTATAAATGTTGGAAGTACCAGCAACAGCAAATCACAGACTTCACCAGAGGCTATTCTTGCTCTGTCTCAGCATCGGGAAACTAAAGCATATGTTGGATGTTAGCCTGGGTGTACACAACGTGTCCTATTTATTCAAGGTTTGCTTTGAAGCCACAACTTACAAGTTTGTTTCTTAGGGGTACATGTCAGACTTCATTTAGCATTTGTTGGTATTAGGATACTCCTGAATAGCAAAAAGGCAACATTTTGGGGGAAGAACGTGGCTGCTATCTGAGCAGTGATCTGTCAGTTCCACTTATGTAGCTCAAGGAAAACTGGAGAAGAGGCACTATGGAGAAGCTGGGCTGAGATCTCAAGATCACAGGCAGAATTATTTTAAAGCACTTTAAATGGAAGAATTAATCTCCATTTAAATTATACATAGTTCGTGCTGTTAAGAACTAGGAAAAAAAATACATTAAAGCAGAGACCCGACTGGCCAGAGTATTTCAATTTAAAGTCTTTAGAAATTCTAAGTGGCACAGTTCTCTTTAAGATGCATTATTTTTCTATCTCTAGGTGCTTGCAGACTTTTTTGTTAACATATTTTGCCTTGCAAGATGGGCCTTTAGGTGTGTAAGGAAAATTTGCGTTCTGGAATCAGTCATGAATTTAAGATTTTTAGGGCTTTGTTGACCCTGCTCTTTGAATTTACTGCTACTTTCTGGAAGCAGGAATTAACATGTACTACTTCTGTGACTGATTTTCCCCATCAAGATATGCCTTTGATTTTTTAATGTCTTGTTCTACAAATTTCTGATGCTTGCTGCAATGTAAGAAATTGTTCTTTTTTCGCATTCTCAGCATTTTTGTATATATTCTCTCCTGAAATATTTAATGTGGAGGTTATTTAAAGGTAGAAAAAGAAGCTTTGGCAGAGGATTTAGCTTCCCCTGTTTACAGCAAACCCCATGAGAAATCCTTCCCAGGCACACATGCACACACACATACACACAAAAATCAATGCAAAAGAGTAGGGCATTCATTAAGCTGTCAAAAATGGAATAAATGCTTTTTTTTTTTATTTAGGCTCTTGTAGCTATTTTTCCTAGTATTTGAGTGTGTCCTGAATTATGAAATGTTATAGCTTTATAATTCATATTTGACAAATTAATATTTTGAGAATGTTGAGCTGTAATAGGGGTATTACCCTATTACAGATGCAGACAACTGTAGGACTTGTTTTTTTTTCCCCTCCTTCCCTGGATATAAAAAACTCTGTGACAGTTTGTCACTAAAAAGACTTTCTATAGGTGAAATCCACGACTAACCATATTTCTTGCTGTTTCAAAATTGAAGCTGGATGAATGAGAGAAGCCTTGCAGGCACACTAACTGTAGGTATAACCTGGAAAATACTGTTATGCGTATTCTCCCTATCCCCTTGATTTCAAATACGTTTTGTCCCGTGTTCTGGATAATAGAGTTGTACATGAAACCCTGAAAATAGAGTTGTACATGAAATCCTGAGGAAATGGAGCAGCCTGCTCCGAGGGCTGGTGACGGTAACGCCGTGGCTGCCTGTAGTGGGATGGATGTGAAATGAAACGCGGGTCTCGGC